GCAGCAACTGCACAGGGAAATTAAGAGTTGGAGCCAAGTGAGAAAATAAAGTAGGGACCAGACAATTACCACGGGTGGAGAACAGACCTACTCTGCCAAGGCAGCCAACCATAAACTCTTACAAGCAATTCCCTGGGAGCGTCCTTCCTTTCAGCTCCCTAGGACCAGGTATGTCCATGCAATCAAGGACCTCCTACATTCAAGGTGCCTTTTTGGGTGGCTGTGAGTTGCCAAGACCTTCACTGTACAGCTCCTTCTGTTCTGTGCCACCACAACATTGTTCCTCACAGCTGCCTGGGGAACACCTGGCCAGGAGTGTCTGTGGTTCTAGCAAAACCCCACCTCCACCAGGGCGACAGAAGCAGGGGGAGGAAGAGCATCACTCCCGGAGGAGGACCCATCCCAGCTGCAGGTGCTGGCAGAAGAACACATAAAAGGTCAAGGGAAGCACCTGAAGCTGATGTTTTGAAGGTGTCACTCTCCTTCCTTTCCTATTCCCTCCCTTTCACCACAGACAGTGTTTCAGGCAGATCTTCATTTCCTCAGCTACCGAAAGTGAAGAAGGTAATTAGATACCCATATGGCCTCAAGAACATTGCTCAGAGTAGAGATTTAATCACAGTCCTCAGGGCTCATAATCACAATGTTCAATTGGAGGCCACAAAAGGCAGTAACGTCTCCCATCACCCCCATGACCTGTAGCAGCCAGGGAGGAGCAGTGGGTCACGGCCTTCTAAGTCAGAACAGCCTAGAATGAAGGCTCCTGCTGCGTGAGGCTTTGGTGCCGCTCACTGTCGGTGCTGACACCCTGCCCTAAGCCCTGGCTTTAAGGGGTCGGAGCAGGGCTGTGCCTGGTTTAGACCATAGGGTGATCTTAGATGTGGAGGGATCATGAGCTCACCTTTCCCCCTAGATTACTGGAGACATTCACAGGCCTCTGGCATCTAACTTTTCATTCAAGCCCACAGGCTGGCGTCTGCTGCTCTACCCTCATTAACATGAGATAAACAGTTTCAAAACTAAGTGAAGTGCATTTCAGAGTAGTAATATGATGTAAGCAACTGAAAATGGAATTGGGCGAATTAGAGCATCCAGTGCTTGAATAACTCAAACTACCCAAAGGAAAAGAACTGACCTATTTCTTCCCTTTGCCCAAAACTAGCATCATCTCCTGCTGTGGCCGTTCACATCAGTAATCACCAGCATGAGTGTATGTCATCACTGGGAGCCACTGATGAATTTGCCCGAGTCTAGGAGCTCAATTAGGGTTACAGAAAGGGGCTGGGGGATAAGGGGGAGCCTCTGTGCTCAGTTGATGGATTGTGCCTGACCCATGAGCTCACCTAGGATCACCAGCTGCAGATCCGTATTTACCTTTCCAGGGAACTTGAAAAACAACTTCTGCCTGAGAGAGGAAAAATGGTAGGAGAGCCTATGAAAGGCAAGTAGGCAACAGTTCCTGGCACTGCCTGTGAACTTGCAGAGTTGTACAGTCATTTGCGGGATGCAGGTACTCGATTACGGCCATGTAAGGCCTGTCTCCCTCTTTCCCCCCCCCACTAGGCTGTGGAATGGAGCATGCAAAATAAAAAGGGAAATCTGAGACTCACACTGCAGCAGGCTGAACAGTTTACATTCTTGTCTGCCATGATATCCTCCTCCCAGCTTAGTTCTTATCTGTTTGACCTCACATAGCCAGCATCAAAAAAGCTGATATTTAGTACAGAGGAATTCTGGAGTTCAAATGAGATGATAGCACTGCAAGGGGTAAAGAAATAAGCTCGCAATATACTCCTTCTGGACTACATGGAATCAAAAGCAGAAACGCAGAATGGTTGAGGCTGGTGAGGACCACTGGAGAGTGTCTAGTCCACTCCATTGCTCAAGCAGGGTCAGTTACAGCAGATTGCTCAGAGCCATGTCCAGTCAGGTTTTGAATGTCTCCAAGGATGGAGACTCCACAAGCCTCTCTGGGCGGTCTTTGATCACCTTCACAGTGAAAAAGTTGTTTTCATGTCCTCTATTGCAAATTGTGGTAATTTCCTCTCATCCTGTCACTTGCTACTACTGGGAAGAGTATGACAACATCTCCTTTTCTCCCTGCTCCCATCAGGTATTTACACCCTTTGGTAAGATCCCTGAGCCTTCTTTTCTGAAGGCCAAACAATCCCAGCTCTCTTGGCCTCTCCTTCCAGCCTTGCCCTGTCTTCATCAAGGAAAATCCTCTCAAGATGTTTTGGATCTCACTACACTGGAACACGTATGGAAAACCTTCTTTTAAACCTCAGTCTTATGAAACTGTGCCACTTCCACCCAGGTTAAGAATCTGTCTGTGTGGCTCCTTGTGCTGACAGTGGCCAAGCTCTGCCACATGCCTCACTTCTGCTACGTGAAACAGAACAGAAAACACTGGATTCTTGAAACTGAATTCAAAAGCTTGTTATGACGACATGAAACTTCAGGGGGATCAGGTCGTAGACATCAGTAGGAGTAGGACCATAAGGTGGTGGTTTTTTTTTTAAAAAATGCATCATTTGTTCCACTTCGGGGTATCTGATGCAATAACCGTGTCACAGTTTTCCTCTGTCACATCCTTCCCACATGACAGTGGAAACATCACTTCAAACGAGCATTCTGGATGTTCTCCTTTCCCCCACACTCCCACTCCAGCTCTGCTTGCCATTAAGCTTTCTTCAGGTTTAGCACATGCTTACTCTTTCCATTGGCTGCAGAATTTCTACAGTGTTCTTGTAGATGCCCCTGCAGATTCTAGACAAAATTTTAAAAGTTTTTAAAAAAATAAATAAATTATCACCAAAAGCCTTCATCTGACAACTTGCCATCTCTGTTACGATATGTTCAGGTCACTCCTCTGGGCTTTTTCTTGCCATAAAGGCTCTGCCCCAGGTAGGGTCTCCCCTCCACTGAATAGGTAAGAAGACCAGACTTCCCACACATGCTGCCTAGAGAGATGAGCCAGTTCTTGGTACTTCACCATGAAACGTGACCTGAGGAAAGCCCAGAGATGAGTCTCACATCATGGGAAGCGGACAGGCAAAAGAGAATTTGCCATTCTCTTAATTTCACCTTCCCTCTCTTCATTCTTGTGCACACTAAAGACATCACTGGGAGGTGTACCAATCTTGATGGAAGAGTTCTTGGTGCAGATGCCCCTCACATCTTTTCCTTGCAAAAGGAACGGGTGCTCTCTCTTACAGCATGACTCTGCCCACCCCACTGTAACACACAGATCCCTCACTTGCACGCCAAGGTCTGGGCATCACAGGGTGGAGGGACGGTGAGCCTGTTTCAGAAGGAGGGGAAATTCCCTACGTGAAGTGGAGATCTAAAATGAGATGAGGATGTCGGGAAAAACACAATTTCCATGTGAATGTGGTAGAATTCGGCCTCCCACAGCTAGAAGACTGGTAGAAAACAGTTTGCTCTGCTGTGTAATTTTATCCTTCAAAACCAAATTATAGTAACTGGTGCGGGCATTCCAGCGTCTGTGAGCTAATGACGATAAAAGGCAGTCACGACCAGCCAGTGCTGGGAGGAAATCGGGTGGGAGGCCGGGCCTCACAACCAGCATTTGCAGATGAGCAACGTTAAGCCATTTCGAAGGGCGCTGTCAGCAGACAGGAGCTCAGGGAGCACTTCAGGTTGGAAGGAGGCAAGCAAGAACGTATCCTCCTGCTAGCCTTTTTTTTTGGGAAGGGGGCGGAGGGGGGATATGCTGCCAAAGGAGCCGGTTTGACAAAATCGAGGCTGGATGCCTTTGTGCTCCAGTGTAATGGGAAAGCCCTTCGTAAGGCAGGAAATCCTGGAGGCACTCCCCTTAGAGAAAGCCTATGTGCAGTAGGAGATCAAATGGGGACTCCCCCATGCCCGAGGCCTGTGGAGATAGATATTAAGAGATGATGCTCTTGTGTCCTTTGGCATATTTGCTTGTAATTGCCATGCCCCCAGAATAACTACTTTTTCCTTCATCCCCACCAGGACAAGTACATTTGGAAAAAGCCTCCCAAAGGCTCTCCCTCACCCACTGTGTCATCCTTGACCCCACAGAGTACTTGACCCCTAAGGCTGGCTCCTGTTCTACAGCCCCTATCATCCTATGTCGACTTCACGTCAACTTTCCTACAATATGGATTCCTGACAGCTGAGCTCACTTCACACAGGCATGTGCATGTATTCCCTGCTCTGGTGACTTATACCTTCAGCATTCCCCATGACTTCACAAATATTTTCATCCACCAAGCCCATAACTTACTCCAACCTCTCTCATCTCCCTCCCCATGGCACTGTGAGAACACAGGGGTTAAAAAATAAATAAATATTAAGGTGGGGGAATGGGGAGAAGAGAGAAGGACAGGGACAGGGACCAGCAGGAAGCCAAAGCAGACATTACTCTTCAGGAAACCCATGAGTAAGGAGCAGCTTGGCCTGGTGCCAGCTTGGCTAGCCATGACTCACCTAACATCTCCTGCCCACTACTGTTTGTTTTTTTGGGTTGGTTTTTTTTAAAAAAAAAAAAACTCAAATATAACATCCTTCACTCCTAACCTGGTATATCTGGGTTCCTTCCACTCCAGAGACTGCAGCTTTTCCCAGGTGAGCAAGGGAATCCCACATTAACATCCTCCTTACTACCAGTCAAACAACCATGCTCACCACCCCACCCCACGTTTTCAGAGCAGAAGCTTTCAGTCCTTCTGGCTGAGAAGGTGGACTGGAAAAAAATGAAAATAATAAAGTCACCTCAGCATGCATTTTCTAGCTCTATCCCTTTCCTTTTGAAGCCAAGATGAAAGGATTAATGCATTATTTGCCTTTTAGCCCAGGTGGTCTGCCCCGCTAGCCTCTGCCCCATTTACCATTGTTGCAGCCAACAGCTGTCTGGACTGCAGCTGCTCTAATCAAAGACACCCTGAAATGTGCTACAGCCGGGCACCTGGCAATGCCATACCCATTTGTTCATAGTGAAGGAACATGCAAGCTTTTAATTGTTCATGGCAAAGGGAGCTTTTTAATGACTTCAATTAACAGAGAGAGAAGAACTCCAGTTAGCTCTTGCTATACAAAAGAGTGTCCACAATGTCATTAAAACAAGATTTACAAGTGTCATAACTCTCAGCAGCATAGTCAACAATACAGCCAATCATTACAACTGAGCACCAAAGGAGAAGGGGAGGAACATCACACCACTGAGTAATGGGAGGAAAAAAAAAGAAGCAGGGGTAGGGGGGAAGGTGCAGAGGAAAAAAGAAAAGTCATTTTTTTTCTTTTCAGTCTAAATTGATTTTATTCTACAAAATGCTACTCAGTTAAAATTGTAAAAGCAAAACCATTTTAATATGTTCTTTCTTTCATAGCAGCAAGCTTTCTCTAACAAGCTTTTTGTTTTAGTGCAAATACTGTAGGCCTGTATTACAGTAAAATAACAAGAACAGAAGAGAGACAACACCAGAGAGACTGCCTCAGAGCTGAGATTCTCTGGGAACGATATCAAGATCACAATGAGCAAAGAAGGGTCCCAATTCAGCATTCACCTTTAAGAACCTCCTTGGCAGAAACTATTTCACCACAGACAAAAAAAGAAAAACCATGATCTAAAACTTTCGAGGAAAAAAAGAAAGAAAATGGTGCCCCCAAACCTTCAATAATCCTCATGGTCGCCTGTTAATCACTGAGGCTTGATTCCACCTCCAACACCCGCTTTGCAGCAGCAAAACGCTACTGATGCTTTCAGTTTGCTCCCAGGAGGGTGGAATCAGAATTAGGCCCTTTCTGTATCTGAGGATCTTAAAGTAGACTTTAGTGACACTAGTAACTTATCGCTCTAATAAAGATGCACTATCCCTTATCGATGTTACTTTGAACTACACAGTATATCAAGATATATACAACATCTTATCCTCTCACTGAGCAAAAACAATTGGATACCTATTTTCTACACATTTTAATATGGTTTTAATATCAAGTAGCCACAAACAAGAAAGTGGAATAACCCTTTAATCATACAGGATAGGAGGGGAACAATTAAGTAAAACAGGATGGGATTTTATTATTATCTTGTATTCTGAGATTTGTCCTCAACTCCACCTACTGTTCACAGAGGAATGATAATGCATCTTTAGAAACATATCTCTTTTTACATTTTATACAGACAACAACAAAACCCAGAATCTTTTATTTAAAGTATCGGAAAAAAAATAATAGCCTAAAAAAAGAAGATTGGAGTATTTTTAATGCTTTCTTTATTATATCCAAGTCTTGAACAGAAAAAAAAAAAAAGATGTAAACATGATAAATAAATAAGAAATAAAATGTAGATTGTTCCCCCCACCTCTTAAAATGTTTGACTTGGCCTTCCTAATGAAAATGAACTTGTAAGTATCATAAGAATAAGATTTCTTACATTTCAGAAGTCTGTTTTAGAATGGAAAAAAACCCCAACAAACCAACAACAAAAGGGAAAATAAAAAAAGAAGCAACAACCAAACACCAGGAATGTGAGTTGGGAGGATGTTAAATTAATGGCGGGCAGATCTGCTGGAGCAGGCACAAGACGGCTGCCTGCCAATAAATAATAAGATACCAGGGAGGAGGGGGGTGTCTTCGGTTTGTTTTCATTTAGTTTTTTCTTTTCATTTAGGATGAAGGCCAGGTGGATCCTACATACAGTAAGCAGCAAAATTAAAGGTTCAGATGAACTAAATAGATCATTTAAATAATAATTATAAAAACACAACAGAGAGCTACTGTCCCTGGTATGTTGGTCCCAAATCCCATCACACCACCAGCAGTTTGAGACTTACCCAGTCTCCACACCAATGAGAAAGGAATGGATGAAGGCAATGCCACAACTAGAAAGGGGGAAGGAGGAACGAGGGCAAAATTGGAATGACAAATATCACCTGGAAGCTGAATGTTTCCTTCAATGCAGCTGCTACTGCTCCTCCCAGTTTGGCATTGATTAATTTAAGATGTTATTGGAGGCTTCATTGGGCCAGTCACTAGGGGGTTGACCCAGTACCAGCTGAAATTCCCTGGGCCTTTTTCTATTGACTTCAACGATTCTTGGTCAGACACCAGTCATAACAGCTCCCACATTCCCATTACATGCAGAACATGGAGACACTGTACATTTATGAATTGGCAGGGAAGGTACTCATGGAAAATACTGTTTTGGGGATGGGGAAGACAGTCAATTCCCAAAAAGCACAGCAGTAAACCTGAAAAGAAGAATGTAGGGCCAGATCAAAAGAGCAGCAGAGCTCAAGCTGTACCTGTCTGCCAGAAACTAAACAAAAGTAAGGCTGATCCCCAAAATACAGAAGGCAGGAGACCAGCGATCCCAACCCAGATGGGCTGAGGGACAAAATAGGCAGGCACAAGATATTCAGAGCTTTTTCCAGATAGTGGAAAATTAATTTTCCAGGCAGTTGCATATGGCTCCTGTCAGTATCACAGCACAGGAAAGGGGACCCTCCTGTCCTGTCTCTGAGAAGGTCAATGAGAAGGCAGCAGGCAGTGGGCAAAGGCCAGCTGCAGCACCTTTTGGCAATGATTCAGCAAGCAAAAGCAAAGGTTGGCTTTTGTTGTTCCACGAGGAGTTCAGCTCACTGGGGTTTGAGGAGGCACCTGACTTCCTGAAACCCCTAGTAGGAATGGTCCTGTTCTCCTGATCCTGGGCAGCTGGCCTCAAAAGTAGCTGCATCACTTTAGGATTCACCATTTGGCAGTGTTCCATTCTGCCCAAAAATGGGTGGAAATGACACACAGAGATGTTATATTGAACAGTTTTAGATTCTCAATCCAGATTGGTCCAAACAAGCATCTGTCAAAACAGAGACAGTTAGACCTACATAAAACCCTATCAAAACAGGATCTTCTGTGCTAACTACAGGAAGTTTAGAGTCTACTTTGTTAAAAAATAAGTTCTGATGTTCACATAAGGAGAAGAGAACTCCTTCATCAATTTTACTTATGTGTAAGCTCAATTTGAAACCTCTAGCACCAGAACAATGAAGGAAGTGTTTAAGCAATAAAGAAAAAGCCTGAATCACAATCAGCTTTATGAAGCAAAAAGATCACTCATATCTTTCTATTTTTGGCAGGTTTGGTAAACACCTGGGTTTAAAAATAATAGTAATAATAAAAAAGCAAAGCCACCTTTAGAGCCAAAGTAGTGTCCCTTTGAAATAATTCAAGGAATGGTCAATGGCCAGGGCTTGAGGGAAGCCAGCCCTGCTGAGTAAAGGTCCAGTTTCACAAGACTGAACCCTATTAATTCCCAGTAGAGTTGGTAGGGACTGCAGCAGTTTAGTATCTCACAGCACTGGCCCTATAATCGCATATTGCATTTCTCCAGGTCCAGCCTGACCAAGAAATACCCTGGTTTCAGTCGATTAAAAAAAATAATAATATAAAAGGACAAGAAAATCTCATGCCAAAATAAATAGCTGCCACCACAGCTTCAACAGGCAGGACTAAACAGCTCTCCACTAAGTGGCTTCGCTGGCCAGGTGGGCAACCCTAGTGTGCACATGGTCATGGTTTGTCAGTGCCTTGAGATCAACAGGAATTGAGCTCGGATCCAAGCGGGAATAGATTAGGTACATGACTGTTTTCAGTAGTGAACATCAGCACTGGAGAGCTTGTGCCCTCTGTAAGTACTTAGAAGTAGCAGCCAAGCCCACAGGCTGGAGAAGACAGGACCCAGGGCTAGGGGAAGAGCCCTCTGATATTTTTTTTGTCTTCAGGCCAATCAACCCCAACAAAACCAGGTCAATTACAACACAAAAAAGAGGCCAAAGACCAAGCTGCAAATAACAGTAATTGATTTTCTTCCACAGCAAATTGTCATTCATAACCAGAGGTTATCAGAAGCTCTGTTCTAGTTCAAACAGGTCATCACTTCAACCATGCCATTCCTGGCTGGTCAGGAGCACCTCGTGGCCTGTGCTGGAGGTTGGACCGCTGCCTTCTCCCCAACCTTGGAAATTGGGAATCTCTCAGCAAACAACACACGTTACTATCAACTGGTGGATGGGCGCTGCTTTGTTTCCTAACAATGAAGAAGTCAGCAAGGGGACAGCTAGCTAGTTTCGCCCTCTTATCTGCTGCCAGTCTCCATCCTAGATTTATAGGCACGTGGTGCCACCTCTTTTTCAGTAGCATGTTCTGCAAATATGGCCAAGGGGAGGGGAGGGTTTACTAACAGGAAGAGATCAGCCTCTGAGTCAGGAGCCCTGACAGGGAGGAAGATGCAATACTCTCTAGACAGCGGGCAGCCCAGGAAAAGTAAACAACAAGCAGCAGATTTGATATCCACTGAACTGGGGTAAAACCCTGCCAAGATACTGGTTAAGTGCCAGCCCAGCAGCTTTCCTGATGCTACTTTGGCCCTGAGATGCTAACTTGTTTTTTGAGGAGCCCAAGGGGATAAATATATCTATATTTTAAAAAGAAAAAAAAAAGGCTTTTGCATGAGCCTCCTGCTGTCTCTGCTGTGTCTGTGCCCCAGGCCAGAGTTACAAGCTCTGCCCTTGCCACTGAGCCCTCGGGCTCCTCTTGGTTCTCTCTCCCACAGACCTCCCAGCCATCCCCCTACAAGTTTCCCACAGCCTGTCCCAAGAGGAAAGATCCTAACAAGCCTTTAGAGTTCAGAGCAACTGGATGAAATGTCATGGGATCAACAACATTGGAAATGATAAGCAGAGAGAGAGAGAGAGAGGGGGAAAAAGAAGTTGTAAGATCAACTAACCAGAATGATCTAAGCACAGAGCACAACCAATCAGATCAATTCACAAAGGAAAGGGATGACTAGCAACCGTCTGCAGCTCGCCTTCAGTCCTGGCCAGGAGTGCTCCCCAAGTCCACTATGGCCATGAAGAGGTTTCCATAGGCAGCCCTACAGAGGGGACATCACCCTCTCCAAACAGTCCTGGCACGTCAGTCCCACCCTTGTCGTTTCCTGCCTCCAGGGAGCTGGCGTTGGTCTTCACTCTGCTTCCCGGAGCTGCAGCACTTCCCCATCCTTGTTCTTGCTGCCCTTGTGCTTGAACGATCCTGTGCTTGTCTCTAATCCCATGGAGAGGGGCTCCCCCCATGGTGCTGGGGGGCAATGTAACACACCGGCAAAATGGGGGGCTGCAGGGGGATTACAACGCCAGCAAGGTGGGAGAGTTCAAGGAATCCGAGGACTGGTCACCGCTGCTGCTGCTCCTCCGGTGAGCTTTGGAGCAGGACTCAGACGGGGAGAGAGGAGACTCCTGATCCAACACGTTGGGGTAGGTGAACACCAAGTTGGAGGAGCCAGGAGTGATGGCTGGTGTTGAGGTCACCACGATGGGAGTGTTGAGTGCCTCCTCCCCGTAAAAACCTCCAGCAATGCTGATGGGCTTAATGACAGACCTCTGGGCTTTGTCAAGGACCAAAGAGGAAGATGGGATCTCTTCCTCCACAGGCTCCTGCTTCACCACCACCGCTCCGCTCGCTCCAGTCCGAACGCTCTGGAGGCTGCTGGATGGTGGACTCCGACGTTCCTCAGGGCTGATTTTGCACACAGGACTGTGAGCGACCAGCATAAACTCCAGCTTCTCCTTCTCCTTCTGGAGCTCAGCAATCTCCTTTTGCAGCACTGACTTCTCCTCCTCCAGCACTTCAGTTTCCTGCAGACAAAAAGGGAAAAATTCAGTATCAGAGGCTCTGGCACTGCTCCTCACCTGGGACATGGCCATTGAGTCCAGTTCCCAGACTCTTCAGGAGCCAAGCATGCACCAGGTCATTGTGAGCCGAGCATCTTGCGTTTCATGTGTCTACCAGTAAGCTATTCTCAAACTTCACTGATCTAGGGGTCTTCTCATGAGTTTACCTTAATTTTCTCATGGCCAGCTTCTAGCATTTTTTCTTGGCCTGTGACTTAAATAACTGTTCTCTCCTTGCTATCTGCCTAATAGACACTTCTAAGAGAGGACTCAGATCTCCTCTCATATTTTTTTATGTTGGGTAAGTCACGTTCTTTTCACTTCTTAGACAGCAATCTTTAAACTGTTTCAATTTTCTGTCTGTAGTGTGTATTCCAGGTAAGGTCTGACACTTGCCTGACTCTTGCATAAAGGAGTAACACTTTCATCTCCACTGGATCTTCCCTTGATGCATCCTTGGATTGATACATTTCCCTTTCCCATGGTCACATCACACTGATGGCTTACAGTCAATCTGGGAGCAATTAGTACCTTCCTATGTGAGGAGCTCACCATTTTACAGAAGTACTCACCCTCAGTCCTTCAGCATATGACTTCCCACTTTGCACTCCTTTCGATTCTATTCCTTTAGTCATGATAATCCTTAAGTTCTTCCTATAGGATGTCCTGCCTTCCCTACACTGAGAATACCTGCTGAATTTGAGTCAGCAGCACGTTTCACTGGCATGCTTTCACTGCTGCTGCTGTGCCTTGTTAATAGGATGATGGAATACAACCAGCCCCAGGCTGGTTCTTGAGCAGAAGTGCTGGGGCCTTCCCTCCAGCTTCTTTCAACACAACCCATCCTTGTCTCCTCTTCAGCCAGTCCCTTACCCACCCCATGGTTCTTGCACTCATCCCTACCTTCTCCAGTTTAACTAGTTATTTCCCCTGTGGCACCAGACCACATGTCTCTGCGGTGCTTTCTTTGTGTAGGAAATCAATTACCCTCGCCAAAGAAAGATTAGCCTAAAGGATGTAGCTTTAATATGTACGCATAACATCTGCCTTGTTTTCTACTGCTTTTGGATGATCTTGCTGTCTTCAGTGCTTTTGCTCCCAAAGCCTGCCTTTGAGGCATGCATCATCTTTATTTCCACTTACAGAGGGATAGCAACAGTAGTGAGACTGGTGCTAGTTGGGAGGCGAGCTCCTAGGACATTTTGGGCATCAGCAAGGGAAATTTAAGCTCCTGAGCTCCAGGCCTGAGCCCTCACCACCATTAATGTAGGAGCAACACCACCAGGCAGCCTTGGAAGGGGAAGACAGCATGTGTTTCGTTGCATCTTCCTCAAACATGCTACTGAAGGGAGAGCAAGCAATGCCCTGCGAGCTGGTCCAAAGGGTGGGCGACAAGGAAGGAGAAATGTATGCAGAGCACGTACCGCCTGGAGTTTCTCTGTGAGCTCTCGACGCCTGTTACGACACTTAGCAGCTGCCAGCTTGTTCCTCTCTCTCCGGATCCTTCGCTTCTCTTCTTCCTCGGGCGACAGCTGTGGGCAAGTGCCAAGAAAACCCACAATCAGATCTGAGCAAGGCATTCCTTGAAGTTTGTGAGGATTTAACCGCAACGCAAAGGAAAAAGGTCTGATCCAGCAGGATGCTGAGCACTCCCCCTCTTCACTGATGTCAGCAGAAGATGAAAGCGCGCAGTATCTCTGCCTGCTCCTCACCCTTCTGTTAAGACCCGGTGAAGATGGAGCGGGGAGCAAGGGGAAGATTGTGTAAGAGGACAGTGAATCTGCACCGAGGCCAAACAGATAAAAGATGCTCTGATTGTTTCACAACTTGGGTGGTACGTTAAGCAAAAGCAGAGCACGATGTTGTAAGTGCCTCTTTCTTGAAAGAAAATATCTGCTGCTTCCCACACAAAAATAGTTGTTAGCTTGAAGGTCGGGGATGGGGTGGAGGGGGAGACAGGGAAATCAGCAGAGCTCCCATGAAGTCCATGAAGCAACAGTGATTTATACCACCCAAAAATCTGACCTCAGATTTTTGAGCACTCAGCGAGATAACACACTGTGCTTCTTGCATCAGCAGGCAAGGCTCCAGCGATATCAAGGGCTTCCTGAGGCCAGCTGACATCCTCGCTGATGTAAATCAGGAGCAATTCCATAGAAACCCATCGAGCGACATTTGCGAAACCAGAGGAAGTGAGCAGGAGCCCACAAGATCTGGTCAAGTCAGGCCTAGCTTCTGGGGTTTGAGATGAGGTTTTACAAATCCCAGCAGCAGATAGGTCTGCACTGCCGCCAAGGCCGGGGAGCGGGTAGAGTGCTGCGTGAAGGGAGCTGGCATGGCTGCACAGCTTAGTGCTGTGGCCACATGGAGCTGGGAGAAGCCACCAGCCCTGGGGATTCAGGGCACACGCTGGGCTGTGCATCCCTCCTCCGCTGCAGACCGACCCCACACCCTGTGCTTCAGCCTCACCAGGCTTTGAACCCGGGTCTGCAAATGAAAGCGAAAGGAGCGCCCTGCAAAGCACGTGTGGGATCTCACCTAGAGCCAGCGGAGAATGGAAAGAAAAACCTTTCCCTAAGAGCTTTCAGTTTTAATATCTTTAGGGACTGTCAAAATCACAAATGAGACATTCACCTTCTTATTACCATTTCTTTTTAGCGTTAGTTTTACTCTAACCTCATTCTGGTTTGTTTTGGTTTGCTTTATTTCCTTAATTTCAATCTTCACAGTTTTGGGGATTACTTCAGCATCTGGGCATTCCCCTCGCTCAGTTCTGCTTTTTTTTAAAAAAAAAAAATTATTTTAGGGGATCTAGCCTGTGCCTGCGATTTCACCTGCATGCAGCGCGAGCTCCTGGATGTGCACCGAGCAGTACAAGCTCTTCAGGACATGGGCTTTATGTCCTGAAACTTTTCCATCAGCAGATCGCAGCGCTCCATCTCGGGGTGGGGGGCACCTCCACCCTGTTGGGCAGCAGCCAGCGGGGCTTTGGCATATTCCCCTCCCAGTAAGGAGCTCCCGCAGGCACCACTCTCCCCAGCATGGCCCTGCCTGCTTGGTTCCCAGCCCGCATGTGTGCAGGGTAAAAATGTATTTGCACACAAGTGTTGGCGATACGGCACAGCGTTAAGCGTGCCCACAGACTCTGTGTTGACTTGGGGCCTCTGCGTACAGTTTCCCAGAGCCCTTTCGTGCTTCAGAAGCACAGACCTCACTGAAATATCTTGGGACCGAAATTTCTCCTCCCGGGGCCTTCAGTTATTTTTAAATTATCTGTCTCGGAGGCTATGCTTTGCGAAAAATCTCATAGCTGGAGCTGAAGCCCCTAATCTGGACGTGCTTAACGTTCTACCAGGTCTAAAAAGGAATATTCTGTCAGCGGTTGCTGGATTTGTTTGAAAGCAGTTGGATTTGGCACTCTTCGTGCCCCTGCTGTAAGCGTTATCTGTAGCTTGTCCAAGCCCAATACGTGCGTTCGCTGGCAGAAACGTTCATCAAAACAGGCTCTTTTCATAAAGCGTTACACAATGTTTTCCAAAAAGGCACTCCGATGCAGCGTTCAAAGCACCAACAGCGGAAACCTGAGCCAAAGAGCCACGGTAGAGCGCCCGGGTACTGCCTTAGCACGTGTCTAATCAAAAGGACTTGGCTTTGAATGACCCACAATGAACGGCTTGCAAACAAGCCACAGGCCAGGAATTGCTTGGCAGGCATCCTTCAGCAAATAACTCCCAACAACAAATAAAGCGGAGAATATGGTGATCTCTTCACGGCCAATTTGTGAACACAGAGGCAGCATTTGTCAAACAAATTAGTTGTTGCTAATTATTCCCCCAGTTCTCATGAGAGCTTCCCTGGCTTTGGATACCAGCCCTGCACGCAGGGAACTGGGAGGTAGCTCCGGCTGGTGGAAAGGGCTGGCACGTACCCCAAACCACCATGGCTACCCCATCCTTTCTCCCAAAAAGGGGTCTCGGGTGTGCACAGAAGGTGTAGCTCACTCCGGACAAGCAACTTTAACCCCTTCCTGCCCATTCGGTCTAAACCAGACAGCGAGTCCGTATAAAATAATCCGACTGTGAATCAAAACAGATGACGTGGAAGTAAAAGTCGGGCTGGTGGAGTCTTATTAGAAACAGACCTCATGCAACAGCGTGTGCTCGTGTTCTGAGGGTGCGCAGTGCATCTCCTTACACTGCTCTGCAGCGACCCACACAACTGCTGCTTGGGAATAATTCAGGGCGAGCTAGATTACTCAGACCTTTTGGGTTTGTTTTGTTTTGTTGTTTTTTTCTCCCCCAAAGAAATCAGCCTAGCACTGTGGATAGCTATTCACCAGACAGCCCTTGAGAAGGCTGTTTATTTCCAAGAGGAGACTGAGAGGGCTGAAAGGAATTCCAGCAGATGAGATGCCTGCATCTAGTCCACTGCCCTGCTCCAGCACCGGATCAAGGGTTCTAGCTCAATGGTCCCATCAGGAGGCGGAGCACAGGGCAGCAGTGGTACAAGCCACCCCATCCCAGTTATGAAAATGGCACTGGGTTGGGAGTAGAAAGTCTCTGCTTATGGGATCCCCACCTCACCACTGGAAGGAGATCCAGTGCTAGCATGTTTGTAGTGGGAAGGTGGGTTTAGAACACAGGCAACCAGAAGGCTCTTGCTACTAGAGTCAAGATGCTCCAGGGAAGCTGTTCCTCCCTGCACAGTGCTGGCAGGTAGTGGTGGTATCACCCAAAAGTAAGACTAGAGAAGCGTTAGCGGCCACAGAGCAGATATAAAACACCAGCTGATGTAATTCGGGTGTCGGGTTTGTAAAGGACCCGTGTAAAAGCTCCTCCGCTTGCTCAAAGGTTTCACCCTGCCTAGAGTGGCAGAGACACTCAAAGTGAAACCCAGGGCTCGACTTCAGAGTTTCACCTGCTTTTGAAACCGAGCCGCAATGCGGCCCAGCGGTGCGAAGCGTTTGATGGAGGTTGGGTAAGTCTCACCATACGATGAGGAAGCAGCACTAGAATCACCCTCTGGCTTACACCCTGCGTCACCCTGAGAAACCCCAGCGCTTGTACGGCCGAGGGGACAGACCTCGGCGCTCCCCTGCAGGGCTGGGAGATCCCAAGGGAGGGCAGGGGGAATCTCCCCCGCCGTGGTTACCTGCTCGTCTCTTCGTCTCCGTCCCACTGTGGTCCCGATGGTTTTGATGACACCAGGTCGCTGAAGGGCTGTGTGTCCGGCCACTGAGGACAGCGGGGGCAGCGGGTGGCCGTAGGGGTGCGAACGAGAGTAAGGGCTTGACATGGATGTGATGACGGTGGGCTGGACCATCCACTGCAGGTCTTGGCTGGTTGTGATGGCGTTGATCGTAGGGATAAAAGCACTGCCTGATCCTGGCATATCTACTCGAAATTTCTAGGAGGAAAGGCAGGGGAGAAAAGAGAGAGAGAGAGAGAGAAGAAACCATCAATGAAAGCAGAACGCTTAGTCAGAAACCAGCTAGGCCCTCAGGAGCAGCAGCAGTGAGGATCAAAGCAGCACCTGAAGCGAAGGCACTGGTGCCCCTGCAGCATCCCGGGCTGCCCCCGCCACCGCAGCCCCCCGAGGAAGGCACTGGGCTCAGGCACTTCCCCTCCGGAGCAGCCCCGTCCTCTGCCAGCCCCCTTCCTCATCCCCCCTACACCTCCCCAGCATCTCCTACACCAACCTCCCCTCCTGGGCAGCGTCCCCACTGCCACCGCCTCCCGCCGGTGCCCACCGCTCCTTCCGGCGTGGAGCGAAAGGGGAATTAAGGAGTTTCTAGAAAAAAACACTTCTCTGCCAGTCCAAAGAAAAGGAAGAGAAACTTCAGTTCTCTAATGCCGATACCAAGCCTTCTTCTACCAATGGATTCCCCTGAAATTTGGGGTCGGTCCACAGAGGGTTTGGTAGGGCAAGAACGGCAGCTTGCTTCTCGTTCAGTGGTTCTGTGCCCGCCACACACACAGGGCCAGAAAGCCAGCCCCAGGACGGCTACCTGCGAGGATATGCATTTTAATAGCAGCCTATAAAATAGGTCTTAGGATTCAGATCGGACAAGTTCCCTGCAGCTCTCTGCACTGTCTAGACAAAACAAGGCAGCAGTAAAACCAAGGCAGGTAATGATCTCCTCCAAAATACATGTACACCTTGTTTCAGACAGAGGTAAATCCATCTGGATAATATGCTGGCACTAAACTGCAAGGAAAACAATCGCTTGTCCCCGGAGGGGAAAGCAGGGGAGAAAGAATGTTTTTGTCTATGCAGAGCTCCTTCAGGAGGCTTTCAATGGTTCGACTCGGTTTTACAGACAGACATGCCTTGCTCCAGCAATCGCTGTGCAAGGGACAGGGCTCGCAGGACCAGCAGCCCTCACTGCCACCGACTGGTCAGCCTTGAAAAGATCTCATGAAAAATGCACATTCTGGGGTCAACAAACTAGCTTCCCAGAGAAGGGAGAGCCCTTGCATCAGCCTAACCTCAGCTAAGGTAAGCGTCCCAGATAAGGGACAGCACTTCAACACAGATTTCCTTTTCAGGGTGTGCCTAGTCAAGCACCTTAAGTGCTTTGTTAAACCAAGGCTACTGCAAATAGTATTTCACATTCTGATAGCTACAGCACTTGGGGCCAGTATTAGCCATGAGAAGTCCAGCTGCCAACGCCTGGAGACCAGAAGATCCAGTTTGAATACCGACAAATGCCGACTTACAGCTTCGGACAGCTCAAAATCTAGCAAGAAAGGACAAGAGAGGGAAGGAGTGAATCAAGTTAAGTGGGTGGGGGAATTACACAGGCAGGATGACACTGGCTCTAAGACCTTGGCAAAAGCCCCACCAGAACCTCAGAGATTCACCTGGAGCTCGAGTCCAGCACAGCCTCAGCGTAGCCCACATTTCAGTGCATGCCATCTTTGTGACCTCTCTCAATTAACTGAGGGTTGGAGCTGCAAACTGTCAACACTACAGAGGAATTTACAGGCGCAAATCCCTTTTGCTCTGCCCAGCGTAGGTCGTGGCCACATGGCACAGGAGAGGATGGATGCCTTGACGCCTCCACAACCATAACACTATAACAAAGGGATCTTAACCTCACAGCAGGGAGGAAGGTCAAGGCTAGTTAAACCACAAGTGCTCAGGGGACGCAAGTTCAGCGTCCAGCTCCACAAGCGGCTTCTGCCATGACTTTTACCCACCTGTACCACCATCCCTCCTGTACCCAAAAAGCAGAAAAGAAAAATTCTTGCCTTCTTTGCAGGGACCCTAGAAAGCTATGGCTGCAAAACGCACTGAGATCTTTTGGTGCTTTGCTGTGCGAAGACGCTGTTTGCGTTCCAGAGGAAATGACCTTTGCAGCAGTGCCACTGCACCCTGTGACACCCAACAACCTGCTCAAATTTCCCCCATCGGAGGTCGGGAGAGTCAGACCCATCTCCAAATCAGTCACATAATATAGAAGTGTCTGACACAAAGATCCAACTCTGAGTTATCGGTGAAGTGACTGCTCCACTTGTAGTCACTCTTGTATTCAACCCAGGACCCTTCTCAAACACTACTGGAGGTCTCCTGGACAGGGAGCTGCTCACTTCAGCCACGTCCCAAGCTCCAGCATGCCTGCTTGCAGACCCAGGGAAGAGATCATTGGGCTTGCAGTCCCTCTCGGTGTCATGCTCCACCTCTGTCACCAGCTTCCTTTCTAAGCCCTTGAAATAGCTTATAAAAATTCCCCAAACCTTTATTCTGTATTTTCCAAAGGCAATTATTTTTCCCAGATAACTAATTGAGGGTCATGCTACTGCGACAGGCTGAATCTTCAGAAATGGGGCGCTCAGGCTACTGCTGGGTTTTACAGGCATTGCTTCCTGACTGGTCAGGCTTTCCCCACATACTTGGCTTTCCCTGCTAGGACACTGCACTGGCTTGGATCTGCTGTGCCGAAATGCTGCTGCCCCCTGTCCCTGACTCTGCCTGGTGGCCATCGTCTCTGACCCCTGGGACACTGCTGGTTTCAGCAGCAGCAAGCCCCAAGTTCCCTGCCACCTTCCCTGCACAGTCCCTTTTGGCATCAGCCTTCTCACGTTGGAGCTCCAGACCTCGCCCCAAACTGTAGCCCCAACTCTGCTCTCTCTTCAGAGAGCTTCGATCCCCCTGGCAGCTCTGCCTGCCCTCACCCACCTCCCCATTGTTCCTCTTTCCAGACCCCCTCCTGCCACTTCCTCACCCAGGACACCCACAGCCCTCTTCTCCTGACCCAGGAGAGGCTCCTGGAGGCAACTCTCTGCCACCTCTCGTTTCTCCTTATCTAAGAGGAATTCACAGTACTGCAGAAAAGATGTGGCGATGGCCAGTTTGCAGGGCTGCCCATGTGCCACAAAGCCACCGCTCTCCTTCTCACCCAAGCAACACGCAGAGAAAGGCATCATTAAAAAAAAACAACAAACAAAAACCAAAATAACAACTAAACAGCAAACAGAAGGAGTCCTGTTATTAAGAGTGCCGAGAACTGAGGTCAGTCTCTGCTCTGCCTTAAAAATACAGGGTTGGAGAGAAGCCTCCACGCCTGGAACAGGCTACATTAGCAGGTCACCCAACTTAGGTACACAGGCAGCACGGGAACATTTCAGGCTTTGGCTCTGTGGTTCCCTTCTCCATCTTAACAGGGAGTTTCGTTACTGCACCCTGTTGCATCTCGGCTCCTCTCCTGATCTTCACTTACATCCATAACTGCAAGTGCTGAGCAGCACCAGAAACCGGTCTAGAAATGGGTACAACGGAAAAAACCCAAACTCGGTAACAAAACCACCAGAAAACCACCCCGAGGATGTTTAACAACTACTCAGTAATGAAATACAGGGCGTACAGGATCTATCCTAGAATAAATACAAGGCCCCCGTTGGCTCTCCCGTGTTGAGCATCTCTGGGAAGGAAAACTGGACACAGTGCTGAGGGGAAAGTCAACCAGTCTGAAAGGCTACACAAACTCTTCCCATTAAAGTCTATGTTTACCACATGGCAAGTCAGTGATTAGGAAAATAGCATGACACGCAACTTAAAAGAAAAATGTTCCACTGCTGGGTTGTATGGGAAAAATAATTAAAAAGCATCAAAGTTTTGGCTCAGAGACACAGTTTCCACTTAAACATGTGACTGATGCATCTTTTCTTGCTTTGGGAAAAAAAGAAAAACAACGCACTAAAAATTTCTACAATGCATATTTTCTGTAGCGATAAAACTGCAGATCTCCATAGACCAGAATCAGCAGAACAGCCCGACTGCTGGGGTAAAGGCAACGCTTCCATTTGATCCTAATCTACAACATCTGTAAGGATCAAGGGAAAGACGGGGCGCGAGGCCTTGAGAAATCTCCCGGATTCTTAAAGAAAACATTTATGCTCCGGCTAAGCCCGCGTCCTGCCCAAAGCCCCGTTTCAGATAGTAACCCTAGAAACTGGGCTCTGGCCCCCCGTATCAAACGCCTCGCACGCCAGCTGCCCGGGGAAGACGTGCGGCCCCAGAAAACCAAAAAGGGGAAAACCCAGTGACGGGCTCAGACCTCGATATAGCTCAAATATTAAAGCGGCACCGGAGTTTCAGGACCTCCTACGGCAAGCGCTGGGATGCAGCGCGGCTGCTGAATCAGAGGAGAAAAGGGAGGGCGAAGGCTTTAGGGCTCGCCGGGCGTTCCCAGCTTCTCCCCCCCCCCCAACCCCCCCTTTTCCTGCTCCCCAACCTTGCCCTGGCATTCCCGGTGTGTGTGCCGGGGACCGGCGGAGCCGCATCCGCGGGAGCGCAGCCCGCAGAGGGCACCAGCGAGATGCGTTTGGAGCCGGCGGGGAGCGGCGGCGAGTCATTTCTGGTAAAACTTCTTTAATGTGAGGAATGTCACGGGCTGGTACGGTTGGCAAAAGTTTAAGACTGGACCCTTTTTTTTTTTTCTTTCCCCCCCCCCCGTGTGCCGGGGACCGGCGGAGCCGCATCCGCGGGAGCGCAGCCCGCAGAGGGCACCAGCGAGATGCGTTTGGAGCCGGCGGGGAGCGGCGGCGAGTCATTTCTGGTAAAACTTCTTTAATGTGAGGAATGTCACGGGCTGGTACGGTTGGCAAAAGTTTAAGACTGGACCCTTTTTTTTTTTTCTTTCCCCCCCCCCCCCTCTCCTTTTCTCCAATTTATCTTTTTGACACGTTCAATGATGCTCCTGCGGACCGAAAACAATAGAGACCGAGTTTCAGCCAAGGCAATTTTGAAGCGGAATCAAAGCTAAAATAACCTGGATGCAGAGCAGCTGGGAGAAGGCAACTCGGGGAGGGGGGGACAGAGCAGGGTGGGTTCCTTGTCCCCC